TTTTGTACGGCCGGGCCCGGCCGCGCCGCGGGCTTTTGGGGACCAGGGTGGGGGTGGGGGCCCAAGTACGGGGGTTCAGGCCTTAAAATCGAATAACGGTGCGTTGTTGAAGCGGACGGGTGAGGGAGGTGGTTCTGCTATGTAATGCCTGCTTCCCTTCGGTAGGGGGAGACCCAGGAGAAGAAGCTGAAGCGGCGAGGGAAGCTGAAACGGCGTAGTAAGGCCCAGGGCGAGCAGGCCCAGCCCGAGGAGAGCGGGCTGGGCGATGGTGACCTTGAGCCCCCCCTGCCCAAGAAGACAAAAAAAGTCAAGGAGAAGAGTAATGCTCTGACTGGAGAGGGTGATGTCTCCGAGCACACGGTGAAACTTTCTGCTGTAAGCAACGACGTGACGTCGCCAGCAACGCAGAGTGTATCCGGTGACACAGCTGCTGGAGAGCAGGGCAGCGACCCAGAGGTAGTTATACTCTGCCCTTGCCTTGCTTAATTAAAGTTCTGGTAATGAGCAGACTTAATAACCCATACTGAGTGCTGTGTGGAGACTTGGGGTGCGAGGGCTGCGGGAGCGTTAGGCTGCTGGCGTAGGCAGCGTTTGCCGTTGTTCTCCTTAGACTTACAGCACCCGGTCCTGGGTGTCAGGGAGAGTCTGGCATCACGCCTGTTTTTGCCCCAGCTGCAAACGTGAGTGAAGCGCAGCAGCATGCGCACCAACATGTGGTAGCTGTCTGTCCTTGTGCTTTCCCTGTGGTAAATGCCGAGCTGTTTGGAGTAGCTTATCCTGCAGTGGAGGAGGCTGGGTAGCTAGTGAGAAGCAGTTCCCCTGTTCTAGCTCAGCTTCGTGTGGCAACTTGTTTTGTGTTCTGCAGCGCAAGGGTTTCTCTCTGCTGCACAGGCAGTCGCTGTCCCAGAAACATGCACTGCTTTATGCTGTGGTGGTGTTTTCTCTGCTGGCAGGCCCTTTGAAGTATTTGGAAAGGTGTTCTGTAAGGGAAGGTTACAGTTATCCTCGTTAATTCCTACTTCTGGAGTTCTCTCTGTTCAGATTCCACCCTTTGCCTTGCACATGTGTGCAAGAGAGCCCCACAACTTGCCTTCCCCTGGATAGGGTCTTCTGTGGGTAGTGTTCTCTCTTGTGTTTAAGATGGGAATGTGAATCAAGAGAATGCTTTTTGTACATTGAGTGTAACAACGTGGTCTCTTGGGTCTTTGAAGGAGAATCTACATTGTGAGTTTTAAGTAAGTGTCTACTGGTGTGCACAGTTAATAATCTGCTTGCATGGTGTACTGAGTAGGTGTGATTTAGAGGGAAATTCCTTCATCACAGTGAATTTTGACACCAAATATGTTTTGCTGTGAAAAACAATTTTCTAATGATTTCAGTGGACCCCAGTTAAGATTTTTAACAAGTAGTTTCCCTTTCCTGATTTGCCAAGTATATGTGCACAATGCAGTAAAATCACGTGAAAGGGATAGTTGTTCCTTTGTGTTTGACATGGTTCTTAAAAGGTGGTGCAGGTATATCTGAATTAGGGATGAGATAGCAATAGTTGTGATTTTGAACAAGTTGTTGCAGGTAACAAGAGCAAGAAGACCTTTGGTAGGAAGCCTTAACTTAAGACTAATGTAAAAACAGGATTCACTTCTAGGAATTCTGTTACTGGGTGGTGCAGCCTGTGTCAGTGTGTCTTATCTTCTAATACAGAGTGGCTGGATTCAAGTTTCCTGCTTTATAATGTGATGACGTTTTTGTTTGTGAAGTACCTGCTTAACAAGGGTTTTCTTTTTCTCTAAACAGAAAGAAAGGTAGTGGGTAAAATGGCAGTGGTAAAGCAAATGCACAGCTTTTCTTGTGTGCCTATGTAGGGCGTGTTATTTGCTTTATTGGCTCATCTCTTCGGGCTAATACCTTTTTTTTTTTTATCCTGTCAGGAGCTGACAGAAGAAGCAAAAGAAGGCGACTTCTCCAATTTTCCTCTGTCCCAAAACACCATCAACCTTCTCAAAGGTTAGTTGATGTGGTAAAAGAAATCACTGTAAATATTTGTCCAGAATTGCAGTCTGTTGCCTGTATTAAGAGATAGAAGCCAAGGGTATTTTGCTGTAAATCTTCTTACATTTATTGTGTGGTAAGAACATGCACATGAGCGGTCACTGTAGATTCAAAGAATCTACTGTTGTTAGTAGGAACAAAGTTTCAGTTTTGTTCAATTTCGGATGCCTTAAGGTGGGTTTATTCTTCCATGGCGTGGTTATTCCTAGATATGCATTCTAGAGACAGGGTTTCTCTTCTCATCGTTGTCGTTATATTTACCATGTATCTTTAATTTAATTCCTGTATCTGCTGTCTATAATATCACTTCTTAAATAAGAGTAATGGTGGTTTGTATATGCAGACTGTTTGGCTTCTGTGAACAGATTATCTATGATTATTCTCATACTTTTGGGCATTTTCATATCTCTTCTTGATTAGTTTTGTTGAGGAAGTGATTGCTGTAGAGTTCTTGTCCTCTGTGCTGGAAAGCTGTGCGATTCTTGTTCCTCGGACAAAATTCTTCTTGTTCCTTTACATTTTCCTTGCTTGGAAGTTTCTCTTGGATGGATTGTTTCACTTCCACTGTGCAAAATCCCTCTGAAGTTTTATAATGTTTTGAAACAAACACCCTCGCTTCCTCCCCACTTTCAGAACCAAGCTACCACAAAATCTTGGGCTGTATCAGAAAAAATGTGTTGGTGGGGTTTTTTTCTTCTTCTTCCTTTCATGTTGTCTTATGCCAAACATCACAAAGAAGGTTATATTTCATTGTGGATACTCAGCTGTGTGGTGGTGGTGGGGAGATACCTTTTGATCTAGAGTAAGAGTGAAAACAAAGATAAGGTTTTCTCCTAGGTTCCATCCCCTGCTGTGTACAGGGTTTGACCTGATGTGCCCTACATGTTTGGGCTGGCTACGTATGAGGGCTTCTAATTGTTTGTTCACCTTTTAATGAAACCTCTTTGGATTATCTTACAGCTCGAGGTGTAAAATACCTGTTCCCTGTGCAAGCGAAGACTTTTCAGCCCATATATGATGGCAAAGACCTAATTGCTCAAGCTCGAACGGGAACTGGGAAAACCTTCTCTTTTGCTCTTCCACTGACTGAAAAACTTCAGAGTGTCTCGCAAGATGAGAGAAGAGGCCGTGCACCAAAAGTAACTTACACTTAAGGCTTAACACCAAAACCTTAGAATATGGCAGTTTTCAATTTTGTAATTGCTTTGGGGACTTTTGTTTGGGACTTGTCCTTTATTGGTTTACGTAATACTGAACACTTTCCTCAGATCAGGAGCTAGTGTGACAGAGATTTTGCAGCACCACAGTCGTAACATGTTTCGTGTTTAGTGTTCCTTGTGACTGCATTTGGAAGAATGGTCAGGGCACTGCAGCAGTAGCTGGTAGAGTTCCAGACTGCTGTCCTCAGGAAGTTAGCCTGTGGCTTTGAGGTTCAACCCCTTGCCTCTTCTGAGGTAGTGATTGAGACAGCTGGACTTGTCTACGTTCACTCACGTTGTTTCTCGCTATAAATTCCATGCTAATAATTGAAGGCTCCCCCCCACCCTCCGGCTCCCTCATGTCTGGAGATTCAACTTAATGGATGCAAGTGGTGTTTACATTTCTACTTAAACATGACATGGAATTGGTAACGAACTACCTGTGATCAGATAGCACATTCCCACACAAATAAAGTGTATATATTTATCATTAGACTGAAAAACTGTTATAGTCTGCAGATTTGTGGTCTACTTCATCCTTCTATTTTATTAACTTTAAAGGCGATGTAAGTTTTAAAATCTTACTGTCTGAAGGATTTCTAGAGAAGAGTTCAGCTCTTTGTTTTATCATTTCGTTCTTAAAGAAAATGGAGCAGGGGGAAGGATGGGTACCAAAGGAAGGCAGGCTGGTGGAGAAGGAGGATATATGGCTAGAATGCATCATGATACGTATCTTAAGATCTCAGTACTCCAGATTGTTTAGTGGCTGTTCCTGTCCTTTGATGCTGAACTGTGCCTTTGTTGTCCTTGGTGATGTTACTGAAGTGTCTATTTTGTCTGGCATTAGGAAAGAACATATCGCTGTTCTGCATCTCAGTTACCTTGTAATGCTTTGCTTTGTTTCCTCTTGCTGGCTATGAGGCTGTGTTGTGCAGGCTTGAGGTGGTAGGAAATATTACTGGGATGGTGAGGAGCTGTGGGCTCCTCTGTAACCACTGTAGACTGAGAATGGGAGTACAAGCTGTTTGATGTGAAGTAAACCCTCTTCTCCTAGCACCTTCTCCCAAGTGTGGCTGCGTTTTTTGACTTTCTCACCCCCGCTCCCCTTTCACTCCTTCCAGGTGCTGGTTCTTGTTCCAACCAGGGAACTGGCCACTCAGGTAGCCAAAGACTTCAAGACTCTCACCAGGAAACTGTCAGTGGCGTGTTTCTATGGAGGAACTCCATATAAAGCACAGCGTAAGTAAATGCTAAGGAATTACTACTGGATTGGAGTTGACTTTCTCCAGATACATTCCGTGGATAAAACTGGCTTTTTTGCTCCCTCAGAGTTTCATTTCAGTCAGGAACCATGACATTGCTTTCAAAGGAAGCATACAGCCTGGGTTGTATTATTTTAGTTCCAATAAATCTGTGTTTAAAAGAATGGCTGTAGGTCTGCAAAGTGACCGATCCTTTTGGTTTCTTCTTTATTGTGCGTTTGTCTAGTTTTTGTATGGACATATGCTGGGATTAGGTGGCTGTCCAAGGAAAAGAGAGAACTGTGTATGTGCGTGTGGCTGTCTCCAGAGGTAGCTGTGAAAAAGACTTTAGTGAAAAACAAAAGCATTTTTCTGTAGTAAAGCTCTATAAAGGTTTCTAATGCCAGCTGATTGCTGCTTGGAAATTGGCATCTCTTCCTGTAACTTGGCTTGTGCTTTAGCTGGTATTCCTGACAGAGCAACTTGGACCTCCATTAAGCTTACTTGTTTGTTGCCTGGGCTGGATGTAGTGCCTTGTTCAGAGATTAAAGTGAAGGGCAGGAGCTTTTTGGTTCTAAAATCAGAAGTGTTGCTGTGTGCTGGTAAATTTTTACCTTGTTGTCTTTTAGCATTCTGACACTGTCCTTGTTTTTCTGTCTTTTCTTCCAGTTGATCTCCTTAAAAGCGGCATTGATATTCTAGTGGGAACTCCAGGACGGATTAAAGACCACATTCAGAATAGCAAGCTGGAACTTTCCAGTGTGAAGCATGTTGTTTTGGATGAAGTTGATCACATGTTAGACATGGGCTTTGCTGAACAAGTGGAAGAAATCTTAGGATTTGCTTATAAAAAAGGTAAATTGTGACATCAGAAGAGGAGTAGGGGATGATGCAGAAACCAATTATGCTGCTTTGAAAACTGCTGATGCACCCCAAACTTGAATCCTTTGTGTGATGCTAGTATTGGACCTCAGAGAAAAGGGCAAGGTAGAATTAGAAATGGTTCAAAGCAAGGTGACGGATGGCTGAAGGGCCACAATAGCATCTCTGGAGGGAGGGGAAAAAAGGAAAAAAAAGCAACGACAAACCCAACCCAACTCCCAAAGCCCTGTTTTTCATGCTGAGAGAGGTGACTGAATCATAGAGTTAGGGTTATGGTGTGTCTGTACACTTGTCATCGCACAAAGTTGACAACCAGGGAGTGTTTGCTCTTTTTTGATGTAGTGGGCATTCAGCAAAGCCACCAGGTAGCAGGTACAGAACAGGAGGTGGTTATTTTAAGTATGAAATTCGTTGCCACTTTGTACTAATGGCAAAAGTTTTGACAGTTGACTTGATGAATTACTGGAAGTAGAAATATCAGGGATTACTAAGAGGAAAGTTAACAGTTCTGGCTGTGTAAGACACAAAAAGCTGGTTGCTGGCAGAGTTTCTTCACATCTTTGTTTACTCTTGAATACTGTTGGAGAGAGTACATGAACTTCTTGGATCTTAGCTTTGGCCCCGTACAGTCGCTGTTATATTCACTTGACTGTTACATTCTCCCCATTTGTGCAGAGTTGGTCTTTGTCCTGACAGCCAAAAAGTACAGATAATTTTCTAAAAAAGGAAATCTGTATAGGTTTTGGAAGAGTTGTTGTAATGATTCAATCTTAAAAGTTTTCTTCATAACTGGAAAATAAATTGTAGGGAATAATAAGTGTTTTTTTGCAATGTGTGTTCCTTTGTCTGATACTGAAGGTAGCTTAAACTTTTTCAAGACATGGTTTGTTAAACTGTTCTTGTCTGGGGTAATATGTCTTGTTATATAATTCTTCCCTGTGGTCTGCAGAGCATCCTTTTTAGCCAGCCTTTTCCTTTGCACATAGCCATGCTGTTCGCAGCTAGTTAGTGCTGGAATACCAGGCAAGTAGGAATTGAGACAAGAGTTCTTCCAGGTATGTGGGAGGACATCAGGCATGGTCTAAACCATTTTGGGCAGATGATCTAGAAATGTGTCTTGCATTTCTTATCAGGCAGGATGGAGGATTCGATTTGGTCCAGTTAAAATTATTGCAATTTTGCCTTTGGTGTCTAAAGGGTATTAAAAAATGTTTTCATTGCTTTTAAGTGTTCTTGCAGCTGACTTAATGCACATAAAAATTTGAAAACAACTCTGTTGTTTTTTTTATCAGTTCTCAAGTTTCAGAGTCTGTTGTGGTGACTGAAATCAGTGGTCTTTCCTTCCAGGTTCTGAGAACAACCCCCAGACACTGCTGTTTTCTGCAACTTGTCCACGATGGGTATATGATGTAGCAAAAAAATACATGAAAGATGAATATGAACAGATTGACCTGATTGGAAAGAAGACTCAAAGGACTGCCACAACTGTGGAAGTGAGTAATTCTGCTGCAGAGCAGTGCAGGTCCTGAGAGCATGTGGCCTGGATGAAATGGGTTTTGCATTGACTTTACAAATGGGGGTGGGGAATGACTTTTCACGTGACTGACACTGAGATTTTTTTAAGCAGAGCTTTCCTATGGGGGCAGTGGTTTGCAAGTTTAAAAAAAATAATTCTGCATTTGTCTGTCCTGTGCATGGCTTAGATGTAACATAGATGCTTATTACGTTTCTTTCCTAAACAGCACTTGGCTATACAGTGTCGCTCATCTCAGAGAGCAGGAGTTCTTGGAGATATCATTCAAGTCTACAGTGGCAGCCGTGGGCGGACCATTGTCTTTTGTGAGACCAAAAAGGAAGCAAATGAACTGGCTATGAATGCTTCACTCAAACAGGTACTGGGGTCTGAATGGAGAACAGCAGTTATGAATATTCATGGGTTGAATGCCTTGAAATAAATGTGATATTGCAACTGTGTGGATGAAGTTGTTTCTGTGAGTGGTTTTAAGACTTATGAAAGCTGTTTATAAAAGTAGCTTTGTGATTAAAATACCTTCTAGGCTGTGATTATGAGTTTATTCCTTTGGCTTTAAAATCATGTAGGACCGGATCAATGGAAAATACACAGCTTATGCTGAGTAACCAGGAGATAGTAATAATGGTAATAAACAGGAGCTAGTATAGTGCACATACTCTGTCTAACGTTAGGTGCTTTTTGGGTTCCCATCTCTTAGTGGCACTTAGGCTTTGAACAGTCGGTAGTCAGGAAAATCCAACTAATATGGTAGAATGGAGTGTCTTGTTGCCCTTGGAAGGTCCTTTAATAGTTTATTCAGAACTTGGGTGATATATTGAGCAGGTTTTCTATGCTTGCTTGAATTATTACCCTTTTTTTGAGAGCAGGGAAAGGTGCTGGATTTTTTTTAGGAAAAAAATAGTGTTTGATACTGAATACTAATTCATGGAGAAAGAGCAGTGATGGGAATATGTGGTTTGCCCAGTGCTTGATAAATGTCATACACCATTCACATTAAAATCTTGCGGCAACAATTTTTGTCTGTTGGCCCTGCTGCTTTCACAGTAAATCCAATGAGTTTGTTCCTGTGTCGGTATGTGACATGTTTTTGTCTCATGATAGTAAGTTCTGCTTTAGCATGTTGCTCGTTTGAATTCTGAGCTTGTGACTCTCCGCTTTTGTCAAATGCTTGGTCTGTCTCTTGTCCCATTACATGTGGAGGTTGTTCAGATCACCTGTAAGGTTTGGGAATGCCCTGAAAACCTCACTTCAGCTTCCGTGTGTTTTGGGATGGCTTCCCAGGGAAGGGAGCAAAGCCTCCTGCCAGCTTGTGACAAGCATTGCTTAAGTAAAGTTGCTTCCATTTGTTCCAGTGGAAGTGAAAGCTCAAGCGGGCCCTTTTGGCATGGCAGACTGCAGCTTGTACAGTCTGCTGTTGGTATGCCAAAAATAACAATGATATGGTAAAACTACTGCTTATGAGTATTGTTGTCCCAGAGAAGGATCAAACCACAAAGTAGGATGCTTTATATTCCTTTGCTATCAGCTGTGCAATTATTTTCTGTTGCTCTGCACAATGTTTTGGATTTTGTAATTAAATGTCTTCAGATACTGCAGCCTAGACTCCCCTGTTAAATGACATGTCAATGGTTTGTTTCACTGGCAGGATGCGCAGTCATTGCATGGTGACATTCCGCAGCAACAGAGAGAAGTTACATTAAAAGGCTTTAGAAGTGGCGTGTTTGAAGTTCTGATTGCAACAAATGTAGCTGCCCGTGGACTGGATATTCCTGAGGTTGACCTCGTTATCCAGTGTTCACCACCAAAAGTAAGTTATTAGGGGAAACTAAAATTATGATTTTTTTTTTTTTTTCTGGTAGAACAGTGCGTTATTCCTCTGTTTCACTAGAATTAATGTTCTGATTCACAAATGAAGTGGATTTTTTGTAAACGCAGGCCTAGAATTTCCAGTTAAACTTTTTATATTTTAAGCTTTGATTAAAGTAAAAGCAATGGTTTTCAGTTACTCTGGAAAATCATAAGGTAGCTTTTGACATTGTTTCAGCATTTCTGAATCCCTTCTGACCATTGTTGAGTGTCGTAACAATTCTGAAATACTCCCGCTGCAGTTTTCTTCTTTTGCAACTACGGTGAAGCTTTTTATTTAAAAAAAAACCCTTGCATCAGTAGTGTGTGTTTTAAACCTGAGGCAGGATACCCTGGGCAGAGTAGCATATGCAAACCAAGTGGTTTGTGTGTAGTTACAGGTTTGGGTTTAGAGACATAATGTGTCAGTCTCTAGGCTTCTGAAATAGAATTTAGCTTGTGTTTTCTGTCTTACAATGTATAAATGTCAACTGTTTAAGTTACATAAGTTTTTCTCATGTTAATCTGAATGTCTGAAGGATGTTGATTCCTACATCCATCGTTCTGGACGTACGGGTCGAGCAGGCCGGGCTGGGATCTGCATTTGTTTGTTTCAGAGAAGAGAAGAGGATCTTCTGAAACAAGTTGAGCACAAAGCGGTGAGTTGTACCTCAGATCTCTGCTTAATGAAATTATTCAGCTCCTAAAAAGACTCTGCCACTCTTAAGACTTTGTAACCATGGGCTTCTTAATGAGTCCAGCGTGAGACTTGTGTCCCATAGTCCAGTAGGCCTAAAATGTTGATATTTGGTGTTTGGGAATGATTTTGTATCACGTCATGTTCTAATGTCTCATGGGTTTTCCCATGTTGGCAGTACTCTCTGGATGTCAGCAGGCAGATTGTGACAGGAATGCTTGAAGGATAGCATGCCTTGTATTGCAGTCTTTGTGTGAATTGGTGTAAAGCAGCTCCAGATTAACAAAGGCGGGAACTTAAAAGGTTTATTTTAGCTTTAGAAATAACTGAAAGACTGTGGTGATGTTCTAAATGGTAACTAGAGGTCTCAGTAATGTGACTTAGGTAGGGTTGAGTCGTAGGGTGCTGAAAATACCTTTAATTGTAACTTGTTTTCTTTCAGGGGATTACATTTAAGCGTGTAGGTGTTCCTTCTGCTACAGATGTAATTAAAGCTTCAAGTAATGATGCCAAAAAGTAAGTTTATTTGCCTATTCTTAAAAGATGTCTAGAGATGTTAACAACAACAATACTGCTAATGCAGATCTTCTAAGGAATCAGACCTGTATGTGACCACGTCTTTCCTGTCATAAAAGTCGGCTGCTTTGCATGTAGACACTGACTTGGCTTTATCAGATGGTAGCAATAAACATCCGTGTGCTTGAACCATAGACCTTTTCATAGAACATAATGTTCTCTAAGTTCTTGCAAAAATGAACTTTTTCTTCTATCATCAGAAATTAATAGCAGAACAGGGAATTACTGTCATGCAGTAAACTGATTTTGTCCACTCAGATGATGCAGTAGCACCGTGGAAAGAGCAATACTTAGTGTAATGAGGAGTTACTCTACGGTAGTGAGGGTGTTGTAGCCCTACCCTGTATCATTTTATTTTCAAGAGTTGTGTTTTTTATTCCACACAGCTGTTTACATTTGCTGCCCCATTGGTGGAAGTTGCATTGACAGATACTATTATAATTAGTGAGGATTTGACCAATAAAGAAGATCATGAGCGTTTTATTTGGTTCACCGCATACTGAATAAATGACGGGAAGTGCTGGTGTACCGAAAATAGCATTAGAGAAGTAATATTAGTTCTCAGTTTCCCAGCATGTTTTCACTGCCTCTCCTAGAAATACCTGATTTAATCAGCTTGCACTGAGAGCAAGAAGTGCCATGCCCCAGCCCAGTAGTGGCATTGTAGTGGTTTGCTTCTTTTCCTTGTGAAGTAAAAGCAAGGGGTTCTTGGGTTTGCTGGCAACACTTTCTTGTGGATCCTTGGTTGTGGCCCTAAGGGTGCTGATGTTTTTGAGCCTTCCCTTCGTGTGTTTATCAATGCTCTCAAACAAGCCACGTTGCGTGTCCTCAGTTTTAAACACATCTTTCAAGAGGCTTGGCTTAATAAACAGAGAAGGTGGGATTCAGCGTCCTCGCAGTGTTGAGTTCCAGTGGGTGGTAGTGAAGCATGAGCATGATAGCCAGGGGGATAATTTGTTAATCTTGAAAGCTGTCTGACGTCTGTGTCTTAAACATGACTGCACTTTGCACTGGCCTTTGCTGATCTCTTCAACTTTTGTTGTCACCATGTAGGTTGTTGGAGGCTATTCCTCCTTCCGCAGTAGACTACTTCAGAAAATCTGCTCGAGAGCTCATAGATGAAAAAGGGGCAGTTGCTGCCCTGGCTGCAGCTCTAGCTCATATTTCTGGGGCATCTTACATTCAGCAGCGCTCCTTACTCAACTCAACTGCGGTAAATACCATTATAGCTGTATTTAACAAGAATGGATAAATGAATTGCTTGTGTCCAGTCCAAGTGTGGCATTTTCTTTGGCTCTTTCAGTAGGGTTTCAGAATAGCTATTATCCCCAGCTCCTGATTTGTTGCTTGTTCCTTAACTGAAATCAGGTCTTACTGATGCTCTGCAGAAAACCAGAGAAACTCAAAATCACTTAATAAATCTTCTTATAATGAGAGTCAAAAGAATTTATACAGAGATCTAAGTGACAGAAGACTTTGAAGCTCTACGAGAATTTAACTAGACATTTCACAGGCTAATAGATTGGTTTGTGCTTTTGTAAAAGCTTTTACGTTTCTGTAATATTTCAAGTAAGTCTAGCTTGTGACTCCCTGATTTCAAAGAGATCTTGCGAGAAGAAAGGTACAGCCCTTCCTTTGTCTGATGCATTTGAGGAGAACTTGGCCCAGTTTGTTGTGTGGCAATGCAGTTTTCAGAATAGCCTGTGACTGGGCTTGTGTTTCTTGTGTCAGTTTGGGATTTTTTTACCTGTTTTCTAGTGGCAATTTTCTGTATGTATTGAGTAAGTGTCTCTGCTTCTGGCTAAAATACAGAAATGCTGTTGGCCTTCGTATCGGTGGGCGATCCTAGGTTAGATGGGTGCCCTCAACTTCTTAGGAGGCTTTTAGCTGCTTCACTTTTGGGAAGATGGTTTCTTAGAATTAAATGCTACGTTACCATAACAGCTTGTTGCATAGTTTGTTAGTTATTGAGTTACAGGCTGTCCAGCCAAGTTTAGTCTTGTAAATGTTTTTCTCTGTTTCCTGAAGGGCTTTGTGACCATGGTGTTAAAGTGTTCAATAGAAATGCGTACCATGAGCTATGCCTGGCGAGGACTAAAAGAACAGCTTGGTGAGGAGGTGGATGCCAAAGTATCCGCAATGCGTTTCCTCAAGGGGAAGACGGTAAGATGGGCCAACCTTGGGGAGAGGTGGGGGATGTACACATATAGCCAGTTTTTGCAGTGATTGAGGCAGGAGTTCTGAAATAGCAGTATAGAAATGTTGATATCTCACTCTATCCCTACTCAGTCTCATTTCTTAGAAAATGGTAACCTATCACGATGTCCCCTAAAACTGCTGTTTACTATTTAAAAAAAAAAAAATCATTGAAGGTTTTAAAAGACACGTATGCAGGAATTCTCTCCGAAAAAAAACACATCAGAAATCTGTACATAGCAGGAGTGGTTGTTGTGACCTTTTTATTCTTTCATTGTAAACTTGGGCTAATTCTGTGTACCACGGCATTGAAAAGAGCTGTAGAGTAGGGCAGTGACTGCCTGCCTGACCTGGGCAGTACACATTCACCCCGCTGTCAGCCTGGCTCCTGACGTGTCTGACACTTGTCTCCTGTGCAAGCACGTTCTCAGAGAGCTGTGGTGCCAGATGACGCCTGTCTTAGGCTGATGGCAGGCAATGCTGCTGTCAGCACAGAGTGTTTGAGTCTGCCTTTTGTTTTGAGCTTGTGTGTTTTAAAACAGCTTTTTTTTCTTCAGCTTATAAAAAGCTTGCCCCAAAAGACAGTGCTTTCTGCCATTTCTGGTTTCTACACTTAGTATGTGTGAGCGGTTGCAGGTGCTGCCTGTCTGGAGTTGTGTGTCTGTTCTTGGATATATCTTTGCAAAGCAAACGCCTCTTCTGTTGTAGGGGGTGTGCTTCGATATCCCTGTTGACGAACTGAGTAACATACAGGTATGTTTTGGTAGCCAGAATTGGCTTTGGAACCTGGTGATTATAGGATTGAATAGAGGGTGGTTTGGGAGGGTAAGTTTCTGTTTTAATAAGAATGTTGCATAGACAACAGTCATTAGAGCATAGCACAGTCATTAGAAAATACCCTGTCATGCCTCCTTCTAACTTCAGTTCTTACTATATTACCTGATTTTATTAAACAAAATCCTGTGTTCTTTGGCTGCTCTGGGTGTTGACCTCTCCAGTGTATTTGAGAGTTAACTGGGTTTCTGTTGACTGTACTCCCTCTTGTCTCTTTGTGATAGTCTATCCTTTGTCACAGGACTGTGAGTTGCCTCCTAAGAGGGATCTACTGACCTATTTCAGCATGGGTGGGATTTGACTGGAAGTGCCTTTGCATTCAGGGTTGCTTTTAATGATACAGGGTGCCATGGACACACCCACAGGTACAGAAAGCCTCATTGCGTTGGTGGTCTTTCAGGAACAGTGGAGAGACACCAGGCGCTGGCAACTGTCAGTGGCAAAGGAATTGCCTGAGCTGGAAGAGTACCTCCAGGAGGTGGGACAAGGGTTCTCCAGATTTGGAAACGGGAGGCAAGGCGATGGCAGCTTCAAGAGAAACAACTGGTTTAAGAATGGAAACCGGGGACATGGTTTTAACAGGTCACTTGATTAATCTCTGGTACAGATAGGGGACTAAGCTGATAAAAGCCTGTTAGACATTGCTCTTTGTCTTTATTCCTCAATAAAGCAGTCTGTCTTTAAGGATGGCTAAAAATCATGTTTGCTGAAATAACTGAGGTTTTTTAGAAGATTTTTCTTTTTGCCCAGCAAACTAGCCGTACGTGTATCGGGGGAGGCGAGTGTGTTGCTGGGAACTCAGCGCTGTGGGGGAGCAACGGTCTTCAAAACATGGACAGTAACCGCACCTTGCCTGTTCAGCAGCCCTTGCATTAAAAAATCTGGGTCTAAAATCTAAAAATTCTTTTTTTTCAGAAAAAGTTGCATCGTTCCTCGGGGGGCTCTGGTGGCCGTTGGGGTGCTCCCGCCGGCCTGTTGCCGGCTGCTGATCTCGGTGCTTGGTCCATTTGCCTGCAGCCCCGTCACAGAGGCTGTGGGGAAGACCACTGAGAATGTGAAAGCAGTAGGAGAAGGGAGCGTGGGGACACCCGAGGAGCCGGG